GACAAGCCCAGTATGTTAATATTTGGCATATCTGACATGTCACCAAATTTACATGTACTCAATGGCAGATATTGTTGTTAGCTTAGTATTTTTATTCCAAAAGTAAAAGAGTGTATATGTGTGTGTAGGGAGTGAAGGGCTTAGTGTATTGAAAAAAGCCCAGCTTCTGGAGTCAAAAAAATTAAGGTTTGAATCTCAGTACTACCCCAAATTAGCTATGTGACTTCTCAGCAAATTACTTAACCTGTCCTAAATATCGTTTTCCCTCCAAGATGCAAAAAATAAGATTGTGAGAAGGATTAAGTAAATTGTTTTATATAAAATGCCTAATATAGGGTCTGACACATAGTAGGTGCTCAATAAATGGTAGTAATTAGAAAAATGCCACTTTTCTTCTTGACCATTGGAATGACTATATCAATTAATGTTGAACAACTCTGACTCACAGGTTTTACTCACATAAAGTGCATCTTCACACTCCTATAACACTTTTATAAAACCAAACCCCTTACTCAACCGAATGCCAACAAATAAATATACACCTTCTCCTTCAGCTCAAATATATTTTGCATGACCTTACATGAATTGCTTAGATAAAAGCTTTTTCTTTTCTGCTTTTGTTATTTTAAAGTACAGATGCATTCGAGTCATTTTCTCCTTTTGTTTCATATCCTTAAGATCCAAAGCTTCAAAGACAAAATGTCAGCATGCAGTCGATTTATGACTGAACTCTAGAAGAGACACTGAAGAATTACCTTGTCAATCACCCCAAGGACTCTGAAGGCCTTCAGCTCCTCGGCAGGGCTCCTTAGGTTCCAAGGGGGCCTTGAACTTAGTGATCCTGGAGGCTAATGGAAGATATCAAAGATTACACATCAATCAGGGAGGTACTTGAAGGAAGGCTGCCTGCTGAAGCAAATGCCAGGCCAAAAGGAAACGAAATTTATCATAAATCAGAGAATGGAAAGATGAAAGGAGAAAGTTTCTGTTTGTCTGTAATGTAAAATAAAAAAAATAAAAAATAAAGAAAATCAAAAAGAAAAAGCAAGAAAAAAGTTGCAAGTAAATAAATCATAACATTGAAAACAAAATTTTAAAAAGAAAAATTAATGAGCTGATACAGTTTCTAGAGCGATAATTCAATTCAGAATTGTACAGCTATCATAAAGCTTCCTAACAAATGGATGAGTGGGCCAACTCTCAGTCACAGTTTATATTTACCCATACACAGCTCAAGAGTAATTTAGAAGGGAGGGAATTAAAAAACAATGCAATAATGCATAAACTTGGGAAGAAAGATACACATGCCATTCTCTCTCATCATGAAATATATGTGTTTTAAAAGGGACTGGCAAATTCAAGTCCAACCAGAAAAATTACCAATAATGGTGAAAAATTAAGAAACTCATTATATAATCAATAGAATCAATAAAATATTTAAACATCTGTGATATGGAAAACAGTCTGTTAGCTACAGAAAAGAACAAAACAAAAAAGATCAGTGAATATAGGAAGGAAAATTTCACTACCAAACACAATTAGAAAATATTCCTTCTTCCATAAATTGGTTTCAGTTTCTCCCTATCAACAAAATAAGTCATTAGATTAGATAAACTCTAAGGACACCTCCTTTCGGCATTTACAACCAGAAAGTACTGCTATATTAATCCTTATATTAAATTAGTGATGCTGTAAAGGATGACAGGAGATACAAAGCCTTATTATACAAGGGGACTATAAAATGTTCATGGAAAAATTCATATTATCTTTCAATTCTATTTTTCCTAGACCTTTCTGAAGTACCCGTGTATACTTAGAGCAAATCTTACTGTTATCAAAAATACCCTGATTAACTAAACTTCAGGTGAGAGAATTACCAAGACACTATT